ATGTGAATGATGCTTCAACCATGCCTTGGTGTAGCAGTTTCCAAAACAGGGAGTGTATCTGTGTACATCTATGTGTGTTTTAGGCTGGGCGTCTGGTGAAAATTTAGGGGTGTCATCTTTTTCAGGTAAGAGTAGCTTCTGCTGGCTTACAGGCAGTGGCTTCAGTTTCCAGAGGACAAGAGACCCTATTTGAATTTGAGTTATTTGTAAGCTAGATGTTAAAAGTAGGAGATAGCTATATTTTATCTGATTTCTTTAGAAAGCCTGTAACTGCAGTCTAATATGACAGCCACTAGCCACTTGTGCTATTGGGCACTTGAAATATGGCTAGTGTCACTGAGAAACTGAATTTAAAATTTTTATTTCACTTTAATTAACTTAAATGCAAACTTAAAAGCTGCTGCTCAATTTAGTTATTGAGCAGTATGTTTGGAACAAGTTAGGTATGTGAATCTACTTTATCAGCTGATAAAGTAGAGATTTCATGAAATCTGAACATATGTTTCTGGTGAAAATTTTGCATCCAAATTGAGATATGCTGTAAGTATAACTAGATTTTGAAGGCTTAGAACAAAAAAAGGAATGTACAATACCTCATTAAGTTTTTATATTGATTGTATGTTGAAATAATATTTTGATATACTTAAGAAAAAGTATGGTATGACAATTAAGTTCGCGAACTCATCCTAGAAAAAGTGCTACGTACCTCATTGCTGAATATTATTATAGTCACCTTCGAAGTACTTCCCTTGGGAAGCTATGCACCGACTCCAGTGCCTAGTCCAACCTTCAAAGCAATTTGGGAACTCTTTCTGGAATGGACATCAAAGCTGTCATCGTATTACCCCCTTGATGTTCTGAATGTCATCAAAATGTCTTCCTTTCAATATTACCTTTATCTTTGAGTGAAGAAAAAAGTCACTGGGGACCAGATCAGGTGAGTAGGGAGGGTATTCCAATACAGTTATTTGTTTACTTGCTCAAAACTCCCTCAACGACAGTGCCGTGTGAGTTGGTGCATTGTTGTGATGCAAGAGCCATGAATTGTTGGCAAAAAGTTCAGGTCGTCTAACTTTTTCATGCAGCCTTTTCAGCACTTCCAAATAGTAAACTTGGTTAACTGTTTGTCCAGTTGGTACAAATTCATAACGAATAATCCCTCTGATAGCAAAAAAAGTTAGCAACATCATTGTATCAAGTTTGCGAACTTGTCAGACCTCATATTAAAATTTACTTCACCTGTTTCTTTTTATTATTTTTAAGGTGGCTACCATAAGTTTACATTTATATTTGTACTGGACAGCACTCATCTATAATATAATATTTTATGTATTTCATATAACTTCTGTTTACAGTTTTTTTAGTTCATGTCTTATTTGTAACACAACTTTCTTCCTACATTTTGCATAGGAGAAAACATTTTTGAAAGCAATCTTAAGCTTTTAAATTAAAATTTTTAAATATATGTAGTCTTACTACTTACTGAAATGTTACTATGAAATTACACTATTTTGAGTTGAAAGTGTACAGAGTATTGTTTTTAAAAATTACTCTTCTTTTACAAAATCTCTATATAAAGATATGTTTAAGAAGACTAGATCTAGTGATTTCTTTAATGGAACTACTGGTGATTATCTACCATCTGTTCAAAGACTGTGAAATTCATTTTGAGTTAGGATATAAAAATATATCCTAATGCATATTTCAAAGGACATTCATGCAAATTCTTACCTCTCTGACTTACTCTCTGAAAAAAATTTTAATGATCCAAATTAAATGTCCAATAATTAAAACAATGTGGTATATTCAGAAACACACTGATCTATGAAATAGAATAGACAAGAAGCAGATCTGAATATAAAGGAGAATTCAGTATATGATAAAGATGGGCTTTCATATCAGTGGGAAGAAAGACGGAGCTAATGGGAAATAATGGACTTTTCTTGGATAACTGGCCAGCCATTTGAAATTGGTTTAGGTTAAAATTGTAAAACATTTAGCTCAGTGCTTGCAAAAAGTGAGTGATCAATAAATACTAATTATTGTTACTTTTAGGAAAACAAAACTACATTCCCACCTCACTTCTTACACAGAAGTAGATTCCTGATGGATGGAGAGACTTAAATGCAAAAAAAAAAAAAAAAAGAACCATGAAATACTCTAAATAAAAATTTAATAATTTTTCGGTATGGATTTTTTTAAGTATGTCTTAATAGCAAGATCAGAGAAGAAAAGAGTATAATTCTAAATTAGACTACATAAAATTTTAACATTTTTGTACTGCAAGAAATACTACACAAAGTTGAAAGTGAAAAAAAAGAAGAAAATGGGAATAAATTACTTGTAATGTGTAAGACAGAAAGATCTCTGGGAAAACTCAAACACCTATAACAGAAAAACAGACAAATTATATAGAAAGGCAAATCACAAAGAGGAAACAAAATGTCCAATAAACATGTGAAACACTGTCCAATTTTGCTAGAAATAAAAAAAATACAGATATGAGAGGCTAGCTCAGACAGAAAGGCTGACAATACTCAGTTCTGGAGGATATGGGGAAATGGCTGTTCCCTTCATGCACTAGTTATTGGTGGGCATATCCGCTGGGGTTGTCTTTTGAGAGGGCAGCTGGCACTATCTATGCAAATGACTCAGCAACTCTACTTCTAGAACTTACATCAAGGAGATGGTCTGGTAAATATGAAAAATATCCACTCAGCCTAAGGATCTGCACCATGGTGTTGTTTATAAAAGTGAAAAACTGGAAACAATCTAAATATCCATTAACAAATTAACTAAATTATGGTAGGGCTATCCAATGGAATACAGATCCTTAAAATGTTCAAGTGGATTGATACTTATTAATTTTCTGGGGAAAAATTGCCTCCTGAGCCCCCAAATAACAAGATCGGACTAGAGGTTTGTTTTAACCATAAATTTGGATTATTTGTTATCTCTTCTCCATATTCCCAACTCCATTACCTGTGTTAATGGGGAGCTGGTTATTTATATTAGGGGCTTGTAACTAAGAGTCTATGAACCTTTCAAAGTGTAAGCAAAATTATATGTGTATGTGTGTTTTACTGGGAAGAGAGTTAATGGTTTCATTAGTCTTAAAAGGTCCCCTAATCCCCAAATGGTTAAGAACCATTCGCACATATAGTATAACGGGTCAGGGTATTGTCTAACTTTGCCCTGAAAAGCATATGTGATTGTACAGCCCCTTCATTCACTAGTCAACATTTACTTAGTACTTAACAAATCTTACCTTGATTAGTAGCCAAATTACCACAAAATTTTGAAATACATTTCTTTATGTACTTTGGAAGTATTTTACACACACACACACACACACACACACACACACACACACACACGCGCGCGCACACACATACATCCATAACCTCTAAAAGCCCTCTAGCAGCTAAAGACAAAAAGCAGATTAAAGAGTTTCAAACAAAATTATGTTAACTTCTGAAAGAAGTAATTTTTTTTACAGTCTTTTGAATCTTATATACATTGGAGCTCCCTTAATAAGATAACCTTAAGATTTTAGACTGAAAAACGACATTTTTGTGAGGATAGCCAAATTCTCAAAATCGAATAAAGACCAGAACAAAAACAAGTTGTTCTAAATGAATTAATTTTAAAAATATGTTGTATAATTGACTGATGCCATATTATAAAATATAGGATGCTAAATTTGAGACCGTAAATTTACATACTTTATAAAATGTCTCCTGGTTTGATGAAAATGACTCAGATACATAAGAGAAGAAACTGGTCTAACTGGTCACAATAATATCACAGTGATAAAACAGATTACAGGGCAAAGTGGCAACTACAAATGAACTGAAACTGCAAGAAAACATAATTTTGGATTAAATGAGATTATCACATTTTCAGGAGGCAGAGGAGGTAAAAAGTGATAAGCAAAAAGAACCATAAGATCAACAGGATTTATTAATGAAGGTGTAGTAGGAAATACATGGTTATAGTTTTATTTTCAATACATAAAAATACTTATCTTCATGAATTTGAATTAACTGCTCATGTATTTAGGTTTAAAATATGATTTCTTTAATGTTTTAGTATTTTCAAAATTGACTTAAATAAAATTCTGTTACAGCAAATTTCATTACAATAAATTCCAAGGCATAATCTAAATTAAGGTAGATTTTTACTGAGATGAATTTTACATAAAATAAGTAGATCTGCTGGGCTCAAAAATATATATCTTTTTAAGATTGTGATTTTATTTGCTACAAAGTTATAAGACCTAAATAGCTGTGTTTCAAAATTCTCCTAAAACATCAACTTATAATTTACTTTCCTTTTTCTCCTTTAAATTCCTTAAAATGTAAAAATGCTTTTAAGCACTAAATCTAGTTACAAAGAAACTATTCAATGTAAATTCAATTAAGGCAGAACACAAGTCTATTGTATTAACAATAACATACCCAAGAGAAAGTATCTTTTACTAGAGATTTCCTTTACCAGATATTCCCAAATGAATACAATAAACATTTAGAGAAGTCATTAAGCAGTCATTAAGGAATTACAAGAAAAATAAATCCATAAACCTAGCAACCTTTGTAGGTATCATCATGAAAGAGAAAGCTGTACAAAAGCAATGCAGAAAATACGCATATATTGAAATAATACAATGTTCAGGGTTATAAGAGTTAAAATAAACCAGACAAAATTTTTTTTCAAGTAGAAAAAAACATATCTTCAATATGAAATGAACAGTAACTTAGAAGAGCACATATACAAATAAAATGATAGGATTTCTTTATTATATTTATAATATAATTCTCCATCAGCTTATACATAAAAACATGGAGCAGTCCACCAAGTTTAGGAAATAAGCCAGTGCTCAAGTTCAAGTTCTTTTAACTCTGAAAACACTGAATACAGTTAGAATGATTTTAATAGAGTTCTTCAACGAAAGATGTCATATAACCATACCAAATAAGTATACTATACCAAATACTTACCACAGACATCACAAACTGCTCATTTTTCTGCTCCTAAAATGGAAACATTAACTGAAAACCAAAAAACAGGTTTCTCATTCTAAGATAAATCAATACACAAACATCATTTTGAAAATCACTTTTCCCCTCCAGCTTTATTGAGATATAATTGACATATAAAATTATGTACATTTAAGGTGTATAATGTAATGATCTGACATATGTATATATTGCAAAATGGTTACACAATAAGGTTAGTTCACACATCCATCAACTCACATATTTACAATTTGTGTGTGTGTGTGTGTGTGTGTGTGTGTGTGTGTGTGGTGAGGACTTTTAAGATCTACTCTTAGCAACTTTAAAATATATAATCCAGTATTGTTAACTACAGTCATCATGCTGTATAGTACATCCTCTGAGCTTGTAACAGGAGTTTGTACCCTTTGACTACCTTCATCCATTCCCCTGCCACCCACCCTGGCAACCAACAATCAGCTCTGTTTCTGAGTTTGATTTTTTTTAGTTCTACATTTAAGTGAGATCATATAGTATCTGTCTTTCTCTGACTGACTTATTGCACTTAGCATAATGCCCTCAAGGTTCATCCATGTTGTCACAAATGGCAGGATTTCTTTCTTTTTTTTTTTTTAATGGCTGAATAATGCTCCACTATATACACACACACACACACACACACACACACACACACACACACACATTAAGAAGGGATAAATATATATATACATATATGTAATTTTAAAATGAAGTAACACTCCATTATATATATGGAAGGAATATATATATATGTACCATATTTTCTTTATCTATTTACTAAAAATAACATTTTTTCTTGATTATAAAAGTATTTCCTGTTCATTATTACCTGTTTATTACATAAAAACAGGAAGTTACTAGAAAGTGTGTGCGTGCGCACACATCCAAAATTCCACAATCTAGAAGAAATTGTTTTTCAAAAACTATTCTTTTTTCCAAGCACAACTGTATGTGATTGTTTTGTAATTTGCTTTTTCATTTAGCTATATATTGTGAACTTTACCTAAGTCATTAAATATTGTCTTATAACATGATTTGAAATGGCTGAATAGTATTCCATTGTATGGAAATTTCTCAATTTAGCTCATCAATCCTCTAATGTTGAACACTGAAGTTTCCAATTTACTGCTATTTTAAATAACACTATGAGGAATATCTTGTACACAAATCTTTGAACATATTTTAGATTATGTCATCTAAATGGAACTGTTAGGTCAAAAGGTATGCACATTTTTAAGACTCTCAATACATAAATCAAACTTCAAAAAAAGAACCAATTTACATTCATACCAATGAGTAATGAAGGAGTCATCTTCCCCACATTCTTAAGCAACACTGTTTTTATTTTTTCAATATTGTTAGACTTTGTAAATCTGTTAATAGGAAAAATTATGTCATTGTTTTTATTTGCATTTCTTGATTTCAAATGCCGCTGAACATAATTTTATGTAATTAATGGCCATTTGTATCTCTTCTTTTGTTCATTTTCCCATTGGGAGAACCATCCATTTTTTATTATTTGTATATATTCTTTATATGCTAAGAATATTAACCTATACCCTTTTGTTATATATGTTAAAAACATTTTCTTATTTTGTCCTTTACCTTTGGTTGCTGGCACTTTGGGCATAAAGAAGTTTTTAATATTTTTGTATTTCTATATATATCAATATTTTCTTTTCTAAGTTGTTCCATAAAAGCCAGCGTTTTAAGTCTGTCCTGTTCAAATTTACCAATATAACTGGAATGCAACGCTAAGTTTTGTCCAAACTAGGCTACTCACACTTGGGTAATAAAAATTCAAAACCACCAATTTTGACAATGTCACATTTCTAGGACAAAATTTTAAATGTGTGCTTAAGGTAATAAGTTATCTTACTTAAGAGCCCATTCCTTTAAATTTATGTGCTTTACTCTGTCTGGTGTTGCAAAATCAAAAGCTCATGCTTCATCACCAACCCAGCATGTTAACTGTAGCCATGTCATTCAGGAAGCCAAATATTTTCCATTTTGTTTTGATAACCTTCAGCAGTTAGGGAGGAAGGCCAATCTCTATTCACATTACAATGAATTTAGTATTTTTACTTGAGATTTAAACTCATTGCAAGAGAAACGCATCTTTAAAGTATGCTTAGGATAAACTTCAGAGTTTCCATTTATCATCACATAACTGAAACAATAACAACATAAAAGAAGGAACATTTACATTACATCTTTATATATTTAGACCTTCCATACACCTTTTGGAGTAAGGCTCTACAACGTCCAACTCTTACTAAAATTCTCCCTCACTTTCTACCAGAAACAGATCACAAACCCTAAAAATATAAACCCACAGGGTGAACTGTTTCATTTTGTAAAGAGCTGTATATTTCTATAGATCTCTAGTTTGTTACTTTTCTCAAGTCTAAAAGATGATCAAAAGGTTTTTAGAAACATGAAACAAAACAAAATAAACAGAACTAACATCATTTGTGAGAGAACATTTTACCTAGTTTAAACTATGGATGAGTGTCTTATAAAATGCTATATTACAAAGCTGATAAATTCCAAAATTCCAATTTTTAGTACTTTAACAGATTAAGTGCTCAAAACTTTCTTTTTATATATGCTACAATGACATTTGTGACAGTAGCTTATTTAAAACATTTCTCCCAAGTTGGATTTTTAGATCCCATTCTTTATAAAAACATAGTGATCTGTCACCAGGTACAGGCTCTGACTTTTAGACAACACAAAACAGTTTTTCACAAACTTTCTAATTTACTCTCACCTAAAGGCTGGAAAACCCCATTGAAGGCTTTTAAAACTCAACAGACACAGAAAGAAAAAAAAAAGCTTTAATTGTAGGATCTCACTGACACAAACATAAGGAAATTCTGAGATACAGATACTTCACATTAAGCTTTTTCCACTGACACTGTAACTTTTGTCAACATTCAAAGAAAATTCAACCCTGGTCAAAGGTGACAGTTTGACAATCCTGGAAGCTAACATCCTCTGTTTATTTGAACTAGTTTATACTCTCTGCTCAGGGAACTGAAGTTTTTCTTGTCCCTGACTTGATCTCTCAAATTCAAATCACTACACTTTAGAGTTGTGAACTGTATCTCGAAGATTTGACTTCACAATTCACCTCCAAGGAAAAGGGCTGAGAGAAAATAAGCATCCGATATGAAAAGGAATGCATTTCTCAGACAAGCTGTAATGGCCTTTGTGTAGCTCTAAACACACACTATTTTTTGTGTGTTTACTCACTTGTGTGTTGCCTTCACTCCCCTGAATTAAAATTCTTAAGTCTTTCTGTCTCAGAAATCACAAGTAGTAGCTCTAAAAAGCTTTAATAAAGCAAGAATGGGACCACAAATCCCTTCAAAATGGTTGTAAATAAAATGAGCTGGATGCTTGCATCCTAAGTCAACAAACACATACGTGGGTTATGAGTTTATGAGGTGTTTAAATGTCTATTACGTTGCTTTGTATACCTGAAACTAATAAAAAAAATTTTTTAAACCCAGATAAACAAACATACATCACATGCCACATTGGCACAAGAGATCCTTTTGTTTGTAAATAGAGGCCAAGCAGACAGTTTATAGCTCTTCTTCTATGATCCATATAATAATGCTCGTGGAAGAATAACAAAGGACAACTTATAGCTAAAATTAAGACTTTCTCTTTTAATTAATTTAACAGGAGAGAAGGGAAGATCAAGAGAGGTGAGAAACTTTGTGGGATCAGAATCCAGATGATTTGGAAGTGGCAAAGGTCAAGCTCTTTGCTCCCACAGTGCTGGGAAAAGACAATAGTTTGATGCTAACAGGTCTGAACTCCTTGGAAGGCACTGCCTGAAGGAAGAAAGCCGCCTGCTGCCCTTGAAGAAGGAAGCTGCCATGTTGTGAGAGGGTCCAAAAGGGGGCCACATGCAAAGAAGGAACTGCAGAGCAGCATGCAGGTGACAGCAAAAAAGCAGGCCCTTCAGTCCTACAGCTACAAAGAAAGAACTAAGTTCTGCCAATGACCTTGTGAGCTTGGAAGAGGATCTGAGAGCCAGAAAGAAGTGCAGCCCACAGAAGCCCTGATGGCAGCCTTGTGAGACCCTGAGCAGAAGACCCAGAAATACCAATTTCTCAGGCTTCCAGGAGCAGCAATGTTGGGGGTTACTATACTGCTGGCCAGTGGCACAGTATTTGGGGGGAGATCTATGTATGGTTCAAATCGTCTTTCTGTCAAGGTTCATTTTCTTTCATATTACTCAGGAATTTCCACCAAAAATTCAGACTTTCCTTTTATTAATTAATCTCACTAAATGGAGATTTTATACCCATCCACACTTTCACCCTAAAGAATGCATCTGTTGCTAAAGCCTATTTTATTGAAATAAATTTTTTAACGGATATGGCTTTATCTTTTTATGATTGTGGGAACAATTCATGCTTCAAATGTTTAAAAACATTTGTACTGTGCAGAAAGATGTAAAGAAGACAGTAAAAATGCCCTTAACGTGCCGTCAGAAGATAACTTCTATTTCTCTGAGTGTGTGCACACATTAATGCATATATATATTCAATACACAAGCACGTGTTTATCTTTTTACTAAAATGAGATCATACTTTTTCCTACTTCAACAATCTATCATGACTATCTTCCCATGTTAATAAATGTAGAGCTACCTCATCATTTCAAAAACATTTCTGCTTTAATATAGTTTCCACCAGGAATATATACGTTACTTGGAAAAATACTTATCATGATAACATTCATAAATGTAAAAAAAAAAAATCCAAATATATATAAAAATGTTTCTATTAAAACAAAAAAGAGTCCATGTTGGAATACGAATAAATGTAAGCCTTAAGGAAATCGCTGTCTCATTGCAAAGTTACAGTTGCCTGCAGCCCTTTGCAGTCCAAGGGTTAGGAATGCAGCCTCGGGAATCAGCACGGCCTGGATCTGGGTCCAGCCCTGTCATTACTGGCAATATGACCTTGGACAAG